TCTGTTTGGATTGGTATTGCTTTTATGTCCATCGTACACAATACCTCATCTCAGAAATATAGACAGATACTGAAGGACCGAAACGTTGTGATAAATATGGCAGCAAAGATGAAGAGAATAGTCCGAATAATGAAAATAGTGTACATAATGCCTCATCTCAGAAATATCGACAGATACTGAAAGGCCGAAACGTTGTGATAAATATGGCGATAAAGATGAGGACATTATTTACATTATTCGGACTATTGTCCTCATCTTTGTCGTCATATTTATTACAACGTTTCGGCCTTTGTATGGACCGGCCTTCTTCGGGTGGTTGGAATGTCGAACTTAACCCTTTATTTCGCTCACTGGGGTAAACTGTTCTAGTTCCACGTGCCATGTTTGATGGATGTCAGTTATCTCCTGTTAATTCCCCTCTGAAAGTTCTCCATTGTTTTAGCCGGGTATTGAACACACACGCTTTGAGTACTGTCACTGGATCTGACCAACGCTTTTTGAGGGGACTGTATAAATATAACTGAAATGAGTTTCGACCAGAAAGGCTCAATACCAATTGTCTCGGGGAAAACAATAAATTTCATCGAATCTTTTACATATTTAGGAAGCGAAATAAATGCTACTGAAAAGCTTTCTTGAATAAAATAGATGTAATCTGGAAATCTGATCTACCAAACAACCTCAAATGGGGCTCTGAAGAATCTGTTTTAATTTATGGTGCCACCCGAATATTAACTAAAAACTTTAGGTCTAAGTATTATGAAACCTTCACACGGATGCTGAGAGCTATACTTACCATCTCTTGGAGGAAGTATCCAACTAAATCTCAGCTCTGTGAAACAATCACTGATAATTTTACAATCTTCCGTCAATGCAAGCGAGCTAAACAAAAACTAGTGAGTGATCTACTGCTCTGGACACCTAGCCATGGCACAAGACATGTTTATCTCGCAGAAACAACCTACAGGGTGGTCCGTAGGTCTTGTCATCCCTACATAATATCATTTTCTATTTCAGTTGGCTGACATGAAAATGATGTTCATACAGACCTTCTCAATTATGTGACAGCGCCGTCAATGAAAGTGTTTAAAAAGAATCCAACACATGTGTTTTGTATTAGTGTATTACTTGTTCTTCTATTTTTCTCTTTACGTTTCTTTACAAGACTTTCAGACCATCTTCCTTTATTTTTATACAGTGTAACCCGGATATTTACGTTTTTTTCTTTTGCAAAATAGACCAAACCAGGATATAAGACCACCTTGTCCTTTAAATAAAACCCGGATATAAAAAACCGGATAAGATACAAGTGTTCCCCAACCCAAAATAGACCAAACCCGGATATAAGAGACCCACGGATATAAAAATAGACCAAACCCGGATATAAGAGAAACCCGGATATAAGAGAGATTTTCTCTGGTTCCAAAGTGTTCCCATACTTACCTAAACAAAATAGACCAAACCCGGATATAAGAGATTTTCTCTGGTCCCAAATTAGAGCCTGTGTTAATGTATATAAAATAGACCAAACCCGGATATAAGAGAAACCCGGATATAAACAAAATAGACCAAATAGACCAAACCCGGATAAACCCGGATATAAGAGATTTTCTCTGGTCCCAAAGTGATATAAGAACAAAATAGACCAAACCCGGATATCTTCTGATATAAGAGACTTCTTCTCCGGTCCCGGCAACTCTCTTATATCCGGGTTACACTGTACATGGTTAAAAAAAAAAAGTAAAGAAAGAAAGACTTGATATTTAATTAAAAAATTTTATTATGAGAAAAAAATATTTTCTTGTTAAATTTTGCTCTCGTCAAAATATCTTCCTTTAGCCTTGATTACTGCAGCACAATTTATTTCGGAGGACTGTCACGAAAATGATGGCGTTCATAAAGACCTCGACAGAGTTACTGAAATTGAATAAACTGACTCCAGTACATGTGCTTTGTATTTCTGTGTTACTTGTTCTATTGTTCTCATTGTTTTTTTGGTAGTGGGTGAAAAGACTTTCGGGCCATACAGTTGTCATACCCAGTGAGCACTTATCCAAATCTCACAAACTGAGCAGCAAAAAAAAAATGGTTAGAGAGATTTGTGAAAATAGCGTTTACCTTTTAAGATATAATTAATATTTGGTTTCATCCTGAATCCAACCAGGAGTATTGCATTCAAATTTTCATCAGACAACCTGGTTACACGTGCTGACTTTACATACTTTAAGATTTTATGACTTCAGACCAGACATAATTCGCTGAAGTCAGTCCTTTTTATATACGACACTCTTTAAACGGGTTTAAACACAGCAATGCAAATTAAAACATGATCACTGCAGCAGTCTCGTAATTGCTTTTCTTAGAAACATCATTTCAGGTACTTACACAAAAAGTCTTCGGACATCAAAAGTTGCAAAAAAATTTTTATTTCATTGATTTTCTTAAAACTTATATTATTGTCAGATGCAAAAATCAGACTGGCCAAATTTTGGCAATTTACTTACATTTATTTTAATTTTTTTTCTACATGGTAAGTTTAACTAGAATCTAATTCCATATAAATAATTATATTTAGTTCTTCTGCTGCGCAGTGCAGCGGCGTCTCGGAATAACACATTGTGGACCGGATCCGGAACCCTAAATTGGAGCACCGAAGCATTCACTTTCCACACCCAACCCAATTCGGCGGTGCCAGGATCATGATGGTGACGCATAGGAAAGTGTTTGACCAGCAGAGGAGAGAGAATGGTCATGAAGTGATCATGTTCCCACTGTGCAGCTCAGGCATATCGGCCCTTGGACCCCGTCTTTATATGATGGGGAGAAACACATTGTAAATACTTTTATGTTCCTCGGATATCTTATTCCATATTTAATGCGAAACGGACCGCTCATCAAATTAAAATAAAGAATGAACGATATAAATAAAACTATACAGTGGCCTAAGAAAAGTTTTTTAACCAGGAGAAATAAACTACATCCCATTTCAAAATTTAATTACGTAATCCCTACTCAACATAAATAAACAGTATTTGGAACTAGTATAGAGTAGGTCCTCCATTTGCTAGTTTCAGTGCTTGTATTCGATTTTTATGGATTTGATCAAGTTATCAACAATTGTTTGATCCATATTTTGTCACTCCTTTAGCAATGTTTCTTTAAGGGTTGCCACTGACGTGATTTTGGTTGCACGCTCTCGAAGTCTTTGTTCAAGGTGCTCCCAAACGTGCTCTATTGGATTCATGTCAGGATTTTGGGCTACTCATGGCAGTGATTTGATTCCTTGCGATTCCTTCCAGGCCTTTACTACTTTACTCACGTGACCTGGCGCTCCATCTTCTTGAAAATGGTAGACATTCTTGTCAATCTGATTGGTTTCAAATAGTAGGAGTTGGAGTCCTTTCTCTAATATTTGACAACATTTTGGACCATTCAACCGCTCGTCAACAAGAATGATCTCAGATTTCCCTCCAAACCAGACAGCACCACACAACATTGCTCCAAATCCCTCCATGTTTCACGGTCGCCTGCAGACATTCAGTATACCAAGTCTCATTCTGATTTCTCCAAACATACCGAATTCGAATATTGGTAGAATTTATTTTCATCTGTCCAAATTACAGACTGTCAAAATTCATAATCTTTGCTCTCAAATTTTCTCGCCAAGTCCATACGTCTGTTAACCTCTGAAACAAAGGGTTTTTTTCTTGCAAATTATCTTTGATAGCCTAGCTCTTTCAGTCTTTCTCACTGCATATGGCGACATTTCCATGCTGTTGGCGACATCTTTAACGCTCTGACGACGGTTTCTGATGACTTTCCTCTTCAGAGCCCTTTTCGTTCGCCCTGACACAATGCTTGGTCTTTCTGAACGTTGTTCCACGCGACAATGGCCTTCTTCATTAAATTTCTTACAAGATTATTAATAGTCTGATGATTAACCTGGAAAAAAAACCTATCAGTTTCTCTATTTGACTTGCCCGTCCTGGGTATGATGATAAACTACATCCGCGTCCTGGGTAAGACGATAAACTACGTCCAGCAGCAAGGACTCTGATCAGGAGGTTTTGAGGACCGTGGAACCACTTCTTAATTGCTGGTGGTCCCAGGTCGGCCATAACCTGTGGTGGTAGCACCTGTTAGGGTCACAGCTATGGGCAAATAGTTAACCCCGAAACTGGAGTAAAAACGCTATGAAATTGTAAAAATAGGTTGTTATGATATTGATTTGGGGTTAGTAGAGACAAACGCCAAATAACACGTAACAATAAAAAGGGTTTTAATAGGTTGGTAAAAAAGTACAGAAATCGCCTGATTAGTCAATAACTAGCTCAGCTAAGAACTTTTCTGTCTATCTGTCTTTTTTCATGTCAACTGACACGCCACTATTTAAAGTCTTTGTTCACAGACGCAGACAAGTTCATCTTTAAGAGGGGTAGTAGGTTTCCGACACAACATAGGTTTTAATACCAGAAATAATTTTTAAAATTATTACCAGCAATAAATTTTTGAGGAAAAAAAAACTATTACCAGCAATACAGTTTTGAAAAAATTTTACCAACAATGTTTTTAAAAAAAATATATAACTAGCTATACATTTTTGAGGAAAAAAATATTACCAGCAATAGATTTTTGACAAAACAAAATATTACCAGCAATAATGTCGGCATTGAATAACCCATTAAGGTTGATATGCCGTAAAACAAAACAAACTAAACTAAACTATTTGACTTGGCACACTGATGCCATCCTGTTATTTGCCATCGTTGAAATTCACTAATTTCCTTATTTCCAGGGACTTTCAAATGCAAGTCAACTATCGTTCATAGATGAGAGTAGCTTGATACTAACACGGTATTGTGTGAAATAAAAGGAAGAAACGTTATTAAACAAACCAAAATTGCTGTAATCAAGGGTGGCTAAAAAGTTCTCATAGCCTACTGTATACTGCTATATCACCAACTATCTCTATCACAACTACAACTGAAAATAATTGAGACTTACGGTCACACCATATTGAAACACCTGTTCCCGTACGATCACCGAAGTTAAGCAACGTCGAACCTCGCCGGTACGTTGATGTGTGACTTCTTGGGATTGCCAGGTGCTGCAGACATGGATGTACGGATGGTGAAATGGATAAGAGCTTGCAAAGGATTGCAATTTTTTTTTTTCTTTTTCTACGCATTAAACTACATAAGAATCAATAATAAAATCAGTATGAATAAAAATATTTTGGAAATCGTCATTTTGAGGTTTCTAATACTACTAGGGGCTAAAACCACAATTATCGATGTCTGATTTAAGGCATATATCTTGCACGAAAAGGATTGCAATTTTTTTTTCTTTTCTTGCGAATCAAACTACATAAGAATCAATAATAAAATCAATATGAATAAAAAAATTTGGAAATCGGCATCTTTGAGGATTCTATCTCTATTAGGGTCTAAAACCGCAATCCTCGAAGATCCAACTTCCAATTCCAATTGAGTTCATTATATTTATTTGGGAAAGGTAGGAACTCACCTTTTCTCCCCAACTATGGATTAATTAGTAAGACTTGCATCACTAAATCATCTTTATCTAAAATAATTTTTAGAATCTAAAAAAAAAAGTTCTGGCTTTAATTAATCTGTAAAGGGTTGATAAACCTTAAAAACGAATCGATTAATCAATGAAATACTGTTTGGATACACTGGCGTATCTTTTAGAATTAATTACATTCTCTGGAATATAAATATATAGAAACTACTCTGACCACAAAGTGAGGGATCAGTTTATATATTGATTGTAATATAGAATTGAGCCCCCACTTTATATCCACATAATTTCTTTGTTGGTAAGCCGTAGAAAACGAATCAATCAATCAATGAAATACTGATTAGCTACACAGGCGTATCTTTTGGAATTGTTTACATTCTCTGAAATATAAATATATAGAAAACACTAGGTGGGGTAGTTTATATATTGATTGTAACATAGAATTGATTTCCCACTTTGCATCCACATAATTTTTGGTTTCTTTATCAAATTCTGAGTAGGTATGAATTTACCCCCTGCTATGGGTTAATTAGTAAAATTTGTATCACTAAAGTATCCTCTTTAAAAAAAATATATATTTCTACAATCTAAAATATTTTCTGGGTTTAAATAACCTGTAAGCCTTAGAGAACGTACAGAAACTACTGTGACCACAAAGTCAGGGATTAGTTTATATATTGATTGTAATGTAGAATTGATCCCCCCTTTATATCAACATTATAATTTCTTGTTTGTTGATAAGCCATAGAAAACTAATCAATCAATCAATGGAATAATGTTTAGCTACACAGACATGTCTGATTTATTTATATTCTCTGGAATATAAATGTGTTAAAATGAATGTGTCCAAAAAGTGAGGGACCAATTTTTTATATAGATTGTGATATACAGTTGATAACTCACTTTATAATGTGTTTATCAAATTTTGATTCTGTAGGAATTCACATTTTCTCCACCATCAATTAGCTCAATTAGTAAATTATTATTATTAATATTACCTAAAAAAGTTTTTTAAAATATTTTTAAATAATCTGCAGAGGGTTGATAAGCCGTAGAAAACGAAAAAATTATTTAAAAAGAAGTTATCTAAAGTTAACATACAATTTGTAACTATTTTAAAACCTGTGGAATAGTTGGCAGCACGCTTATGCGCGCCGAAATCCTCACAGCACTTTTTATTATTGAAAAAAATTCGTCAAAAATATTAGCGAAAACGCTAAAATTTTTGTCGAGGTTTAAAAACACTGCGTTTCGTTCAATTTCGCAAACCAATCGATGAAATTTGGATAAGGTGATTTGTTTGGAAAAAAAAGTACTTTGACAAAAACCCCGACTACACGGTTTAACAACGTTAATTTAATTTTTAACGACGAAGAATAATTTTTTAGGATTTCTTACTCTTGAGCATGCAACATACAAGTGGCCATTTGTAAATATTTCTTTCTGGAAACAAATTCCGAATTTTTGGAGTGTTTGGCCTTGTGATTTGGATAAGCTGATTTGTTTGGAAAAATACTTTGACAAATACCCCGACTACACGGTTTAATAACTTTAATTTGAATTAATTTAATTTTATACGATTTTATGGTAATGAATATTTTTTAAAGAAAATTTCTTTTCTTTTTTTTTCCTTTTTAACGGCAAAGAATAAATTCTTAGGATTTCTTACTCTTGAGCATGCAACATACAACTGGCCATGCGTAAATATTTCTTTCTGGAAACAAATTCTGACTTTTCTGGAGTGTTTGGCCTTGTGATTTGGATATGCTAATTTTTTTGGAAAAATGCTCTGACAAAACCTCCGAATTCATGGTTTAATAACTTTAATTTAATTTAATTTAATAGGATTTCATAGTAAAGAATATTTTTTAAGAAAATTTCTATTTTTCATTTTTAACGGCAAAGAATAAATTCTTAGGATTTCTTACTCTTGAGCATGCAACGTACAACTAGCCATACGTAAATATTTCTTTCTGGAAACAAATTCCAACTCTTTTGGAGTGTTTGGTCTTGTGATTTGTTTATAGTTCACGCAAGCGCAGGAAGAACTGGGAACTGTATTCTAGCATTTTTATTAAATAAGTATTTGTTTTTTTAATTGTTTTTAAAATAGTGGGAGTATTTTGTTCTTTAAATAATAAAACTTTTATTTTTTCCAAAACCTGTATTTGTTTTCCAAAACTTTATACCCATTTATCTGTTTGCACTTCTCCACAACATTTGGTTTCGATCGGTCAATATATGGCTATTTTAGAGGGTGTGATGCGAACAGAAAGACGGTTAGACGTCACATAATTTTATATACGGATGGATAAGAGGCTTAATCAATACAAAAGATTAAATACCAGCCTAAACCAGGGGCAGATATTTATACATGTAGACGGTAATAAACATTATAAAAAATTAATAGGAAAATACAGTAAAGAATAAAAATAAATACTACATGACCACAAAAGTGATCATTTGTTCATTGCTATTCGGAATTTATCGTAAATAAATATGGCACTTGTTTATTCTACTCCTTCACATCCCCGTCCACCGCTCATTCTTCTTCTTCTTCTTCTTCTTCTTCTTCTTCTTCTTTCTTCTTCTTCTTCTTCTTCTTCTTTTCTGTGTACCGTGGGCCTTCATGACGTTGGCGATTATCGGTCATAACAATTCCCTGTCCTTTTTAGCTCTCAGTAAATTTTCTCTTTTCGCCATATCCCCTAGAAACCTTTTGATTATTGCTATTCGGCATTTATCGTAAATAAATTTGGCACAAGGCCGATGAAATGGCGCGCCCAATGAAAATCGAACTCACTATTTAATACTAACTGATCTAGCGAGACAAGCAGGTTATTACTACACCATGCTAAAGTGTCCATTGTCAGTCATCAAAATGAACGTGACTAATTTTGATTGAAAAAAATGCCGCTTTAATTAAAAGAGAAACTCGTTTATTCTACTCCTTCACCTCTTCCATCCCTCATTTTTCTTCTTCTTCTTCTTCTTCTTCTTCTTCTTCTTCTTCTTCTTCTTCATGTTCTTCTTCTTCTTCTGCTTCTTCTTCTTCTTCTTCTTCTTCATGTTCTTCTTCTTCTTCGTCTTCTTCTTCTTCTTCATCTTCATCATCATCATCACCATCATCATGATCATCATTATCTTCTTCTTCTTCATCATCATCATCTACTTCTTCTTCTTCTTCTCTTTCTTCATCTTCTTCTTCTTCTTCTCCTTCTTCTTCATCATCATCATCATCTACTTCTTCTTCTTCTCTTTCTTCATCTTCTTCTTCTTCTTCATCATCATCATCATCATCTACTTCTTCTTCTTCATGTTCTTCTTCTTCTTCGTCTTCTTCTTCATCTTCATCTTCTTTATCTTCTTCTTCTACTTCATCTACTTCTACACTTTTTTTCATCATCATCACCATCACCATCATCATCATCTTCTTCGTCTTCTTCATCATCATCTACTTGTTGTTGTTGTTGTTGTTCTTCTTCTTCTTCTTCTTCTTCTTCTTCTTCTTCTTCTACTTCTACTTCATCTTCTACTTCTTCATCTTTTTCTTCTTTATCATCATCATCATCTTCTTCTTCTTTTTTCATCATCATCATCATCATCATCATCATCATCATCATCTTCTTCTTCTTCATGTTCTTCTTCTTCGTCTTCTTCATCTTCATCTTATCTTCTTCTTCTACTTCTTCTTCTACTTCATCTTCTACTTCTTAATCTTTTTCTTCTCCTTCATCATCATCATCATCATCATCTTTTTCGTCTTCTTCTTCTTTGTCTTTCTGTGACGTTGGTGACTATAGCTCTCCTCAATTTCCTGTGCTTTGCAACCCTCAGTAAACGTTGTCCCTGTTGCCACCTCTCCCCACCCATCCAGCCATCCATTAAACAAGCTCGCCTTATTGGTTATACGTTGTTTTCATCTGTCCCTCTTGCCTTCGATCTATTCTGTAAGTATCAAATTTTCCAAGCCTTCTTTCCTCCCTATATGTACTAGAATTTTAAACTCTTTCTTTCAGACGTTAAGCGTAAGTTTCCTTTTTTTTCTATTTGCTCAAACGTTCGATCGATCTTATTCTCAGCATCCTTCTGTAGCACAACATTTCTCATACTTCAAGTCTCTTCTTCATCTGTGAGGAGATTGACCAGACATCACTGAGAGGACTGATATTACATAAAATTTCAGTACACTTTTTGTTGTGGCCTGTTTAGGGGCCAGAAAGAAAGACACGGAGGACGAAGGTAGAGTGAACAAGTGTATTGAAATAACATATATATATATATACAAATCAAGAGAGTTAGTAATAAGTAGATAGAAGTGTACGTCCGAACGGTAGGTTAAACACTGCTTCTCGGCTCCCAACCAACTCTTCAAGTTAGTATTTATGAGAGGAGGAAGAGTTTATTCTACTGTAGGTGGGTTTACCACAACTCTTTTTACGCTAAGAACCTTTCTCTTACATTGTAAAATGTATGTACCAAATTTGGTCACAATCAGTTGGATGGATCTCGAATATAAAGGTATCACACAGTGGAACAGACAGAAAGGCAGACACTCAGACATCCTCTGTTTTTTATATATAAATTATTGTTTTCCTTCTCCTCAGTAGGACTAAATAGGTCCGTCTATCGTCCTCCCTGATCTTTTGAACAAGAGTAAATGTTTATCCCTTGTCCGCTGTTTAAGATAGGGTTCCTGGTTCCTTCTAAAGTCTACTTCAACTCAATACTTCTAACGTCTCAGGCTGAACTCTGAAAATGTCTTTACTATACTCTTTCCTCAATAGGAGTAGATAGGTTCGCCTAACGCCCGATTCACACTCCTCCTCGATCTCTTGAACAGGAGTAGAGGTTTATCCCTTGTCTCCCATTTAAGATTGAGTTTTCGGTTTCTTCTAAAAATCTACTTCAATTCTACCCTTCTCTGACCGAACTCTAAAATTTCATTCACTAATTATTTTTTCGCCTCTCTCAACAGGAGCAGATAGGTTCACCTATCGTCCGGTTCATACTCCTCCCCGAATTATTGAACAGGAGTAGAGATTAATCTCTTATTTCCTGTTTATGATGGATTTCCGGTTCCTTCTGATGTCTACTGCAACGCTGTACTTCTAACGTCTCCGATTTCATTCAGGAATTATTTTTTTCTTTAGGATTGGATTTCCGGCTCCTTATAATGTCTTTTCACTCTTTCAATATCATCGCCTTGCGCATTATCGCGTTGCTTGAGGTGAATTGATTTAAATTCGAAATGCGGCCTCAATGATTGGGGCAGCAATACTACAGACTATCCAGAGACGTCACTTACGATTGCATTTTCTTTTATTACAGCTGTGATTCTTAAGATATAAATCAATTATTAATTGCATTGTTTGCATGTGCTACATTCCTCATATGAAGGCGTCAGAGAAAATTATATATGGGTCAAGTGGGTAGTTGGATGGAAAGCTGTAACTATATATATATATATATATATATGTGTGTGTGTATATTTGTATATCTATATATATATATATATATATATATATATATATTACTTTGGGTGTGTCAGCATCTATATTTTTCAATCTGTTCATACCTCTCTCTCTCTCTCTCTCTCTCTCTCACACACACACACACACACACTCACAGACACACTTTCTCCTTCTCTCTTATGCATGTTTATAAAAAACAAGAAAATGATCCCAACTTCGCGTATTTTAAAATGTCTGCAACTGTATATAATGACAAACTGACACCAAAAATGAGATTCATAGCTTGTACCAGTTTTTGCTCATTTATATTTAAAGGTCGTCTTAAAAATGTACAGAAAAAAACTGACTTCATATTGTTACTATTTCAAGAATAAATCCAAATAAATATAATATCTTTTGTATTCGATACATTGAATGGAAAATACATTCAAACCAGAATTCTAATTATGAATCACCACAAGCAAAATATGCAATCTTTTTACTGTATTCGATAAGTAAAACTTGTAAAAAAATTGTAAGACTACAAAAAAGCATACACAATAAATAAGATTTGTTAGGTTATAATAAAAAAATAGAAAATAGATAAAAATGAATAAGATTTATTAAATCCTAATTAATAAAACTGAAAATACATTAAAAAAAAACATAATAAGTCTTGAAATAAATTATAAAATGTTTTAAATTTGCTTTGTTTATTGAAAATCACACTAAAATTACTGCACTGTATAACATATTCCATCATAATATAGCTAAATTGTACAGTATAATTTCCCTTTGAAGTAAATGAAGGTCTTATTTGATGGCACAAATATTTAATTATGCTTTGCATTTTGTCTATATACAATTTGTAAAGCTTCAAAAATTATAAATTTTATAAGGCTGTGCTTTAAGGCTTTCACTGGTTGCCGGAATGAAATTCCAACGCTCCAATTTTGGACGTCTTCACTATTTGCCCATAGCTAGTACCCTATCAGGTGCTACAACCTTGGGTTAGGTTGGGCCTAGAAACAACAGAAATTAACAGGTGGTTCTATTTTCCTCAAAGTAAAGATGTAAAAGATTAAAAAAAAAGGCGACTCAATGAATAAGATTTGTTAGATCCTTTTCTGGATCATAATTAATAAAAACAAAATATAAAAGTCTATATAACACCATAATACTGCTGGGCACAAATTATAAAACAAAATGTTTTAAATTTGCTTTGTTTATTAAAAATCTCTTTAAAACTACTGCACGGTATAACATATTATATCATAATATAGCTAAATTGTTCAGTATAATTTCCTTTTGAAGTAAATGAAGGCCTTATATTGCTTTAGTAATACTGTGTTTGTGGCATGCATCTTGTCCATATAAAATTTGTAAAGCTTCAGTAAATAATACATTTTTATAATGTTGTGCTATAGTTATTTTCCAAGGCCGAAAGTATGGGGCACCCAGTGAGGATAATACTATTGGGGGCATAGTATTTTAAATTTGCATTGTTTATTGAATTCACACTAAAACTAATAGGCTCATTTGTGTTTACTTAACACCCACAGAGCCTATCTGTGATTTATATTGCAACTATGCTGAGCAGACCTTAGTTACAGTTTCTGGGAGACAGCGGGTAATCTAGCGTGACTACTAGTTTGAACAAGGACAGCACACTCTAGTGGCTTCGTGCTATCAACATTCCGTCTACCTAATTTCACTCACAAGGCTTGGGTCAATCCGTGATACATGGTTTTTTGGCACATGGGATCCAGACCGATAAAATCAGGAAGTCTCCTTCCTGACAGATCGACCATGGTGAGATTCGAACCCGTTTCTCATGATCAGAAAGCGAACGTTCTAACCACTCGGCCACACGCTCATACACTAAGACTACGGCACTGTATAATATATTAAATCATAATATAATTGTTCAGTATAAGTTACCTTGAAGGTCTTATTTAATGGCACAAATATTTAGTAATAATTGTTCTTTGCATCTTCTCTATATACAATTTATAAAGCTTCAATGAATTCTAAATTTTATAAGGCTGTGATTTCTGCAATGAAATTCCAACGCTCCAATTTTGAACATGTTCTCTATTTGCCCATAGCTAGGACCCTATCAGGTGCTACAACTTCTGTTTAGGACGGGCCTAAGAACAATAGCAATTAACAGGTGGTTCCAGTCTCCTCTAAGATTCTAATTTAAAAAAAGCGACTCAATGAATAAGATTTGTTAGATCCTTTTTTAAATTATATGTAAAAAAATCCCAAAATAGATAAAAGTGTATATAAAACCATAATACTCATGGGTATAAATTATGAGACAAAATGTTTTACACTCCTGAGGAAAAACTTATATGATATATAGGTCAAATGGCGTGACCGTGTGAGATTTCGGGTCTATAATCCTCAGAAGCCTGACAAATATGGGATGAATGGGTATATTGTTTCCGAGTCGAGTAGTGGTTACGTCTGTAACTATGAACTCTATTGTGGTATTGGCAGAACAGTTCAGCAGATATGTGGTGGACTTCTGGAGCACCTATATGGCTTTGGCTATAAAGTGTACGCATTGGCCAAATTCTTTCTGGAAGATGAGCGGAAAGTTCATGTTTGTGGTACACTTCGGCTGAAAAGTGGTGCTCCACGTGACCTGCGGCAGGAAGCTGATCGCCTTCAGCGGGGACTGGTGACATTTCATAGGGATCGAGATGTGTTAGTGCTCGTGTGGAAGGACAAACGCCCAGTGAAAATGATCTCCACTCTCCATGACTCTAGGATGGAAGATTCTGGTACTCAGGACAAGAACAATGAGCCAATTCGAAAACCTGCATGTGTGCTGGGCTACAACAAACATGTGTCAGGTGTTGACAAACTGGTTGGTGAATGCTGCCATAATCCCGGTGTTACAAAACGTATTGTTGGTTACTCGGTCAACTGCGCATCACACATAATAATCAAGAGTGTTGCAGCTTGGAGAGTTAGGAGTTGCCGGATTTAAGGGGTGATGTGGTCGCAGAAATTGTCTGACCGCCATGACTGGTTTCTCCTGCTTGTGTGGAATGGTGTAGAATCCTGTTGCCAGGCATAGTGACTTCCAGCAGCCACCCTCTTGACCCAGGGCAGCACTACCGCCTCAAAGCACTTGATTTAGGCCTCAGTGTTGACTTTGAGGCACTCAACAACAAACTCGGGAGTTTTCTTATCAGAACGATCAAAGTGAGTTTTCGGAGTTGCCGTACCTTCGTAATCACCATTAGACTCATCCAAAACCTTCCGAATCCTCTGCACTGTCCTCAGATTAACATCCGGGCAGTACAGCATGCCGTTTCCAAATTTCTGGCGGAGTTAATTGCGCCCTGGTGCTCTTTTTCTCACACACAAAAGTATTTTTGTGACGCGTTTCGTTCTTTTAGGTTGTCAGCGGACTAAATTTGTTATGTTGTTGCAACTACAGAGGCGTATGAACGTGGGATGCTGTGAAGTTTTAATTTGATTTTATATATATATATATATATATGGAATTCGAACTCGGCTCTGCGATTCCTCATTCCAAGCCGCTATCCATTACTCCACTCTGCCTGATAGATAGATAGATAGATAGATAGATAGATAGATAGATAGATAGATAGATAGATAGATAGGGCATGAAAAGACTGAGATAGATACCTAGAAAGCTCTAGATAGACCTAGATAGATATATAGACAAACAGACAATGAATAGATAGATAGATAGATAGATAGATAGATAGATAGATAGATAGATAGGGCATGAAAAGACTGAGATAGATACCTAGAAAGCTCTAGATAGACCTAGATAGATATATAGACAAACAGACAATGAATAGATAGATAGATAGATAGATAGATAGATAGGGCATGAAAAGACTGAGATAGATACCTAGAAAGCTCTAGATAGACCTAGATAGATATATAGACAAACAGACAATGAATAGATAGATAGATAGATAGATAGATAGATAGATAGATAGGGCATGAAAAGACTGAGATAGATACCTAGAAAGCTCTAGATAGACCTACATAGATATATAGACAAACAGGCAATGAATAGATAGATAGATAGATAGATAGATAGGGCATGAAAAGACTGAGATAGATACCTAGAAAGCTCTAGATAGACCTAGATAGATATATAGACAAACAGACAATGAATAGATAGATAGATAGATAGATAGATAGATGAGATAGATAGGGGCATGAAAAGACTGAGATAGATACCTAGAAAGCTCTAGATAGACCTAGATAGATATATAGACAAACAGACAATGAATAGATAGATAGATAGATAGATAGATAGATAGATAGGGCATGAAAAGACTGAGATAGATACCTAGAAAGCTCTAGATAGACCTAGATAGATATATAGACAAACAGATGAATGAATAGATAGATAGATAGATAGATAGATAGATAGATAGATAGGGCATGAAAAGACTGAGATAGATACCTAGAAAAGCTCTAGATAGACCTAGATAGATATATAGACAAACAGACAATGAATAGATAGATAGATAGATAGATAGATAGATAGATAGGGCATGAAAAGACTGAGATAGATACCTAGAAAGCTCTAGATAGACCTACATAGATATATAGACAAACAGGCAATGAATAGATAGATAGATAGATAGATAGATAGATAGATAGATAGATAGGGCATGAAAAGACTGAGATAGATACCTAGAAAGCTCTAGATAGACCTACATAGATATATAGACAAACAGGCAATGAATAGATAGATAGATAGATAGATAGATAGATAGATAGATAGATAGATAGATAGCAAGCAAGCAAGCAAGCAAGCAAGCAGGCAGGCAGGCAGGCAGACAGACAGACAGAGTGGAGTAATGGATAGCGGCGTGGAATGAGGAATCGCAGAGCCGAGTTCGAATTCCAGTCAAATCCATTACATTCACTTACGTGCTAATACTCAGAATTCGGCTTTTCAAAAAGTGTGGATGGTCCTGCACGAAACATGTGCTGTTGTCGGGCTGTCGGTTTGTCCTATATATATGGGATAAAGTGCTCAATATCAGAGATAGAGCGTATATAAATATAAAGGTGAACACTGAAGTCAACACTCAGAGGCGACAGGCTGTTTCATGCTAGGCGCAAACGTCAAGAAATATATGTGTGTGTGTGTGTGTTGAGCACCTACAGGCGGTGTAATGGTTAACATGCTTGTCCCGTTAGATCAATTACGACTAAGTAGCGAGTTCGATCCTAACTGAGTGCACCCTACTTTCGGCCGTGTGCCACATATAAGTTACGCTTGGAAAATCACTATTAGGGCAACTCGGCCTGGTGTAATGGTTAGTAAGCGTGTCTCGCTAAAATAGTTACAACTGAATAGTGAGTTCGATCCTCACTGGGTGCCCCCTACTTACGGCCTTGTGCCACATTTATGGTACGCTTGGCAAATCACTATATATATATGTGCGTGTGTATGTGCATGTCTGTGTGTGTATAAAGAAACTCTAAATACAGAGGTATGTAAATATATAGATATAAATATAGACCCCCCTCATTGGTCACTTCGACGTTGTCTAATTGTCAACAAGTTGGTGTCGCTAGTTTAGTTACAACTGAATAATGATTTCGACCCTATTTTTGTTCGCTGAATAATATTTTCTTGCACAAACGGTCTGCGCGTTGTCATCGCTACAATCAGAAAAAATATTCGCTACACCATCCAACATTGAATACGGCAACCAAATGTGTACGTATGTACACAACGGCACATATATACATATATATGCCAAGTTCCATACTGTTCACATATGTTTGTGTAAGCTCCGGCGCGTGTGTGTATATGTATGTGTGTGTGTGTGTGTTTATGTGTGTGTGTGCTTATGTGTGTGTGTATTATGTGTATGTAGTATGTGTGTGTGTGTCTATGATAACGACATATAAATTTTTATATGTCAAGCACCATAAAGGTGAAAAATATATGACAAAGTGTAAAAAGTATTTTTGTGACGCGTTTCGTTCTTTTAGGTTGTCAGCGGACTAAATTTGTGATGTTGTTGCAACTACAGAGGCGTACGAACGTGGGATGCTGTGAAGTTTTAATTTGATTTCATTTTTTTTAAATATAATCTCGTCTAAATGAAATCGGCTAGATTATATATATATATATAAAAATAATTAATAATTCCCAGCATCCCTCGATCGTACGCATGTCTAAATTTAAACTGATGAAGTCCTCAGTGATGAAACGTATAACAAAAAAACTTTTATCCATTTTGTTATAGATTCCCCACCCCAGAAAATTAAATATAAGCAGTAGTGCCTAATATTCCTGAACGAATGGTTAGCAATCAATAATTTCCAATTCTAAAGATTCCTCCTTGAAAAAGTTGAACTAAATTTTTAAAAAACCTGCAAATTTTCAGACACAGAGAACAAAGGACAAAAGCTGTTATAGAACAAAATCTTTATTACAAAAAGTGTATAGTCATAATCCTAAAAAATAAAAACCGAAAATATTCATGTGAATTTAATTAACATGATTGAATATACGCAGTAACGGCTAATAAACCTTAACAAATGGTCAGCAATCAACAATTTTCAATTTTAAAGATTCCTCCTTGAAAAAAATTTTTTAATTTTCTTTAAAACTTGGCAAATTCTCAGAAACAGAGAACAAAGTCTATGATAAAATAAAAACTGTTTATTAGCGTCATAAACCTGAAAAAGAAAAAAAAAACGAATATATATATATATGAATTTAATTAACAAGATTGAATTATCATTGATAGAAATTATTAAGAAGACGTAACTAAGTTTTTATTATTTCTACACACATATGACAATATGACTTCATAAATTTGTCACATTGCTCAGATATCCCATTTATCATATAGCAACTACAATTATGCAATCTGTCAGTGTTATTCATTAATTGGCCCTAGTATGATATCCGATGTTCTTTTAATGTTTAACAATTGGTTTTAGGATCTGGACCTTTGCAGGAGTATTCCATAACCTCAACGTTTTCAACTTCCAAAAATTGGTTCACCACTGTTTTGAAATAGTGGAATTATTTTGTATGTTAAATGATAAAACTTGGAAAGTAGAAGACAAAAATCTGATGATAGTCTCCATCCTTCTCAATCCTATTACGAACGTCTGTGCAAAAGTAATTCCTGTTTTTTAATTCTTGTTTTCCTCTATGCCATATCCTTTCAGGATGTTGGCGGTCATGGCTCACCACAAATACCCGTCTTTGTAATTCCTAGTACATTTTTTTCCATATCTTCTAAACACTGTTCTGCCAACCACTTATTGGTAGTTAGGTAATGTGCAGATTTACTCTGAACATCTTGTTGTTAATATCCTCAGTGTATCACATTTTCCAGGCCCTCTTTCCTCATTATTTGCCCTAGAAATTGCAATCGCCGTTTTCTGACTATGAGTATGAATAACCTTTTTGTTTCCATTTTCTCTAAAACTTGCTCACGTGTTTAGTTCATGGCATTCTCATCATCCTTCTGTAGACTCACATTTCTCTTCTTCATCTGCCAAGCATTTATAGCATGGTATTTTGTAACATTTCAGTATTATTTTCTTTGTTTCTAACGACATTTTCCTGTTTCTTTGCTTAGCTTCAGGTGGTGGGAGACCGTAGCTCTCCCACAATTTACTGTCCTTTTAGTCAAGTTTGTCATTTTACTACCTCTCTTGACCTCTGTTCTGTCGGCCATTTACTATTTCGTTGGGAAGTTGCTTTTTCACTTGCCGACGTTACGTTATGGGAGTGCAATTTAATATTAGACTTTCTACGGTTTTTTATTTAATTATAAATTTTAAAGTAGCAAGACCGTAAAACAGAAATTTTACATGTTAAAAAATATGATGATCAGGAAAGTTTCAATGTTACAGAAGAGAAGGAAGGATAAGGAGAAGTAGAAGGTGAAGGATAAAGAAAAGGATAAGGTGAAGGTGAAGGATAATAAGAAGGAGAAGGTGAAGGATAAGGATAATGAGAAGGAAAAGGTGAAGGTGAAGGATAAGAAGGAGAAAGTGAAGGTGAAAGAGGAGGAGAAGGTGCAGGTGAAGGATAGGGAGAAGGAGAAGGTGAAGGATAAGAAGAAGGTGAAGGTGAAGGTGAAGGATAAGAGGAAGGTGAAGGTGAAGGAGAAGGAGAAGGTAAAGGATAAGGATAAGGAAAAAGTGAAGGATGGAAGAAGGTGAAGGTGAAGGATAAGGATAAGGAGAAGGTGAAGGTGAAGGATAAGGAGAAGGTGAAGGTGAATGAAAAGGTGAAGGTGAAGGATATGGAGAAAAAGAAGGTGAAGGATAAGGAGAAGCAGAAGGTGATGGTGAAGGATGAGGAGAAGCAGAAGGTGAAGGTAAAGGATAAGGAGAAGGAGAAGGTGAAGGTGAAAGATAAGGAGAAGGTGAAGGTGAATGAAAATGTGAAGGTGAAGGTGAAGGATAAGGAGAAGCAGAAGGTGACGGTGAAGGATGAGGAGAAGAAGAAGGTGAAGGTGAAGGTGAAGGTGAATGATAAGGAGAAGGTGAAGGTGAAGGAGAAGGAGGCGGAGAAGGTGAAGGATGGAAGAAGGTGAAGGTGAAGGATAAGGAGAAGAAGAAGGTGAAGGTGAAAGAGAAGGAGAAGGTGTAGGATAAGGAGATAGTGAAGGTGAAGGAGAAGGTGAAGGATGAGGTGAAAGTGAAGGTGAAGTAGAAGAAGTAGAAGGTGAAGGTGAAGAATAATAAGAAGAAGCGTAAGTAGAAGGTGATGGTGAAGGATAAGGAGGAGGAGAAGGTAAATGTGAATGAGAAGGAGAAGGAGAGAGATAAGGATAAGGAGAAGATGGAGCTGAAGGATAAGGGTAAGGAGAAGAAGTTGAAGGTGAACTATGAGGATATGTAGTAGGAGAAGGAGAAGGATAAGGATAAGGAGACGGTCAGGTGAAGGTGAAGAAGGAGAAGGTGAAGGTGTAGGAGAAGGATAAGAAGCAGGCGAAGGAGAACGTGAAGGTGAAGGATAAGGAGAATGACAAGGAGAAGGAGAACGATAATGGTAAAGAGAAGTTGGAGGTGAAGTATAGAGAGAAGAAGGTGAAGGATAAAGAGAAGTAGAAGTATTAGGTTGGTGCAAAAATAATGACGTAATAATGTCGTTTTTTGACGTATAACGTCAAAAAGACATTATTACGTCATTATTTTTGCACCAACCTAATACTTCCTAAGTAGGGTAAATAACGGGAAAGGACCCCCATAGCCTGTCGATGCCGCTTTTGAATTCATCGTTTTTCCATCTCCTAGACCTGTTGCCGCCGAAAGCTGTAGAAAACCAGTCTGCCCTGCTATTTACCAATAGCTAGGGGTGGGAGAAGAAGACGATTTATATCTTTCCCATGTAAGTGAATGTAATGGATCCGGCTGGAATTCGAACTCGGTTCTCCGATTCCTCCAATCCATCCGTTATCCATTATTCCATCGTAGTCCACCATAATTTTCATAGAATTCAAGTCCACCTGAAAGTGTTTTTACCATGCTCAGAATTCTGAGTTACACCTAAACTGCTATTAAGTGTCATTAAATTACCATGACTATCAGGAAAAATTCCTATTTTTGTTTTTATTAATTTCTTTATTTCTAGTCCTAAACAAAAGTCTTAGAGGACATGTACAATAAGAGTGATGATAGATAGATAGATAGATATTCTTGAACAGATAAAAATATTTAATTCAATTCCTCTCTTTATTGCCTTTATTTCTAGAACGAGGACCCCAATAGATAGATAGAAAAAAGAAAAAAAGAAAAAAAAAAAAAAGAGACTTAGATAGATAGATAGGAACAGAGTGAGATAAGAACAGACTGCAATAGATAGATAGTGTTATGGTAATTTCCCCAGGCACGCATGGAATCTCCCAGCTATAAATAGGAGCAGGTA